CGCTTGCAAGTAGCTAGTAACAGCTTACCTGCCAGAGGCTGTGCATGAACAGCCCAGGAGTGGGGTTTCTCACAGCAGAGAAGGGTCAGGCTGGCTCCCAGAGTCAAGGATTGGAGTGACCTAGCAGATCACTGGTCCAGACAACACCAGAGGGGAACATCCCAGGTACATTTTGCACATCCCAGGATGTGCTGCACTCCGTTTCCGCATTCCCACAACACCTAGTGATGGCTGGTGTCGCCAGGCACTGTCGGATTCATACCCACAGTCCACTGCTCTCGCTGTCGACAATGGTGCCCCGAATGTGGACATGATCTGTCGACAGAGGGAGAAAATGTAGACACGCTTTGGCAACTTTGCTTTTGTTGATTTTTCCTTGTCGACATTAGTTTCATTGACAAAACTTGCCAGTGTAGACAAGCCTTTAGAAGGCATTTAGAAAAAACACTACAAAAGGAAAGGGTGAGGTTATGTGTCGTGTTTCTTTAAACTATAGCAAGCTGTCAGGTGGTAAGAGATGGGGGAAGATTCCAGGCTGAAATCCACTGAAAGAGAGAAGTTTCCAGGATAACTTCCTTAATCTGATGAAGTTCCTCATTCAGTATCAGAAAGCAACTCTTCCTATTTTTCTTTACCATTGGCAAATGACTGAAGGCTAGATAGTGACGCCTCATCAGGGCTCTGCTGCAGAATTCCTTGTTACCTGAGCTATAGGGTCCTGTAAAATGTAACCTGCTGTCAAAATCACTCCATTACAAAGTTGTGTGGAGGAGGGCTGCTCATGTATAATAATTCTTACATAGTGGGTTTTTTCCCTTTGTTTTGTTTTTAGTGTGCTAACTCCAGTGGCAAAGCTAATCAGAAAACATCCCTCAGAAAAGGCATCTTGGGTTGATTTTAGGTCACTTAAGTTATGTCTACACTGCAATTAAATGCCCATGGCTGGCCCATGTGAGCTGACTCAGGCTTATAGGGCTCAGGCTATGGGACTGTAAAATTGCAGTGTAGATGTTTGGGCTCCCACAAGGTGGAAGGGTCCCAGAGCCCAGGCTCCAGACTGAGCTGAAACATCTACCCAATATTGCAAAGCCCTGCAGCCCAAGCCTCCTGAGCCCAAGTCAACTGACACGGGCCAGCTTCAGGGGTTTAGTTGCAGTGTAGATGTACCCCTATAGTGGCAACACACAGCACATGTTTGGAGAAAGGACAATCTTGCGGTTAAAACACTGGACTGGGACCATAGACGTTGACGCCCTGGGTGCTCCAGGGCTGGCGCACCCACAGGGCTGCAGCCCCCCATCAGCACCTTCCCCTTCCTCCCCCCGCGCCTCGAGCCTGCTGCAATCAGCTGTTTCGCAGCAAGAAGGAGGATGAGGGGGGAAGGGAGTGGAGCGGGGACGGGGCGTGCTCAGGGGAGGGGGCAGAACTGGGTGGGAAGAGGCGGGGTGGGGACGGAGCAGGGGCAGAGCGGGGGTGGGGCCTTAGGGGAACGGGTGGAGTGGGGGTGGTGCTTTGGGCAGAGCTAGGGGACAAGCACCCCCCAGCACTCTAGAAAGTTGGTGCCTGTGACTGGGATTTAGGACATTTGGATTATAGTCCCAGCTCTTCTACAGACACGTTGTGTAACCTTGAATAAATCACGGGGGTTACGTCTACTCTGCACCTGGGAGTCAGCCTCCCAGACTGGGTAAATAGTTATACTAGCTCAGCTTGAGCTAGTAGGCTAAAAATAGCAGTGTGGACATCCTAGCTTTGGCAGCAGCTCGGACCCCCTAGGTCTGAGCTTGGGTGGCTAACTCAATCTCAGTCAGAGCTGAAACATCCACAGTGCCAAATTTCAGAATTAAGCATGGCACAATTGAACATGTGTCTGTGTTTGTGCAAGCCTAAGGTATGCGCCCAACAGGCCACAATTTGCATGACACATCCTACACATGCACTCACCAGCTATTTGCACGCTTCTCATAGGTATATGCAAATTAATTTGCACACGCCGACTCCTGAAAAGCTGATTCTTTACTTCTCACTTCCTTAGCTTCCCATCGTAAAGTGCAAGTAATATCTCGCAGGTGGGTAGTATTTGTAAAATGCTTTGTGATCCTCGGATGGAAGTCACTGTGAAAATGCAAAGCCTTAATAGTATTGCTAATTTCCAGTGATTGTCCTGGGACACAGTGGGGCTTCCCATGTCACTGAATTCCATGAGGGAATTTATGAACAGCAGAAGAGATTCCTGTTATGAGCTCATACCCACTAGCTGCCTGCCCACACCCACACTTTAACAGGCTATTGGGACAACAAAGGGTTAAAGATAGAGAAAAAAGTTCAGGGAAGGCTCACCACTCTGTCCAGTGGATCTGCCTGGCTGAGCATGAGAGCCACCTGCAGCTTGTTATAAAGGGCTCTTGCTGATGCTGTCTGGGCTGTTACGTTACAGACACCAGGTAGAGTGTGAAGGACCCTGTCTGTATAGAACTCATTTAGTATTGTCAAGAATAAGAGAGGGGAAGGTTATTGAAAGATTAAGATTTGAATAAGGAATGCAAGTGAGAGCAGTGTTTTAAAGAGCACACGTCTACAACAGATTTGCTCGTGTTTAGTTTTTTTGTTTGTTTGTCTCGATTTTCTTGCCTACTTCAGTTTTATACATGTCTCTTCATCACGATTTAACTGAGTTCCTGTGGCAGCTAATGATCATCTCTCTAGTGGATTGTAGTATGGCCATACTGAGTCCAGTGTTAAATCACATCAGAAATCAGATCTCTTAAATCTTATCAAAGGCTATTTGTAATTGTAATCTTTGCACTGAAGATTGATGTGTATGCACATATATTACATAAAATACAACAAAAGAACATGCAGATTGAAAAGTTGCACACAGAAAAGTTAGAAAATTCCAGAATTATGCTTCCTGAGTTCCTAGAACAGATATATCACTGCACTACTATTCCAGATATGTTTACAAAATGATGATAGCTTAGGAGGAGACTTTAAGTCAGTGAACATTCTTTTTTGTTAGTTTGTACAGTTTGAGAAATTACTGGGGTCTCCTAGCACTTTTCTAATGATTCTAGGGATTTAAAATTCTCAAATTCCATCTCATTGAATATACTGAATAAAAGCAAAAGACACTAAGAAAGATACCCTGTAAAGATTGCAGGAGCCTGTTAAAGGCACTGCAATTCTTTCCACTGACTTCAGTGGGCTTTGGGTCAGACTGTACGTCAAACTTTATTTAGTGATGCTGAAAGCTCAGATCAGTCTGGTTTCATCTTCAAAGTCTGTTCCCAACTTCAGTCACAGTCTGTCCGCTCCTAATTATAAATTAAAGACATTCAAAGATAAATAGTTGTCATTTGGTAAATCATGAGGATTGAATGTAAATGTGGAGAACTGGAGCTACCTCATCAAAATCTAAAGGAAAACAGGATCATCTTCAAATGAGAGACACTGTCCTTTGAGCTAAGCTTCTCATTTTGTGCTTTCTATCTACAATGAAAAATTTGAACTCTGGTTTGATTTCATTACTTATCAAAGGTCTTGTTAGTCCACCAATTTTTAATCAAAATAGACATTGTTCTCCTTGCGTCCCTGAGAATATTGTTGTTTATATATGGTTTCTCAAAAAAAAAATTGCTGTAATGGGGATAAATAAGCATTCAGGTTTATGGATCTTCACTGAAGTGGCTGAACCTATGTCATGACCCTACAAACATATTCACACACATGTAACCTTATTGATGTGAGAAATGCCATTGGTTTCAAAGGAACTACGTACAATAAAAGTTACTTGTGTGTAAGTGTATACAAGATTAGGCCCCAATATATCGCAAGGGAGCTATTGTGTCTGGCTGATCTCTTCCATAGAAACACCTGCTAGAATTTACAGATCAAAGTTGAGTGAAATTCAAAGAGGTTTGGAACATGGCAGGGGATGACAATTTTATTTTTAATTTCAGCTGAAATTAGCAAATTTTGTCTGACTTCCATCCAGATCTATAAAACCCTTTCTCTGTGCCTAAAACTCAGCATAGTTCCCTCAAAATTCATCTGAGTTTGGGGTTTATAATACTCTAGAGTAGGACAGTTTTGCCTGGTTTGGGGGCTATTCTGAATTTTTCATGATGATTTGGTAAGTAAATGTTACCAGATTAAGAAAAATAGTATCAGGCATCATGGCGTGTGATTCAATTTGTTTCATCCAGTATTTTTACCCGAACTGTAAACATATACGTCAAGAGATTCAAAAATGGATTGGTGATTTTGGGTGTCTCCATTTTTGAGTGTTCAAGCTGAGATCTTCAGAGAGTTGATGTTCAGCATTATCTGACAATCAGGCCATCTTTAGGGTTGGGCACTCAAAACTCACTAGTGGCTTTTGAAAATTGTGGCCTTATGTAAAAGTATCCCATTCTGGGAACATCACCTTTGAAGTTATAAGCTGGTGAAGTGAAGAGAATTCCTACCAGTAACTCTTGTGTGAGCAAGGACTACTGCCACTCAGATAGGGCTGGAGGATTGCCTACAATGGAGGGCAGGCAATATTTCTAGCAATGGGACAGTTTTTAACTTAACCAGGGGCTCCGTAGGAACCCTGATCCTCAGACCTTGCTGAGGAGATGAGCTATATTTGCATATCCCTTGCCATGCCCCCCTTCAAGCCAGTGCCCCCAGCTCTTGGGGTTGCACTGGGTGCTCATAAGGCACCTCAGCAAAGGGAAAGTTATAGTTGCCATACAGTAGAAGCCAATGTAGACCCTGTGTTTAATCTACTATGCGTAGAATGGATAAGTCATTCCCCTCTTGAACAGAACTTCATTTATTGCATAAAGGGAATATGATGCAAGCAGAATACATGGGAAGCATTAACATATCTCTGTGAAGTAAACAGTGAAACTACTTTATGACTGTCATCAATGTACTGAAGTTAGCAAAAAAACTGAGCTAGCATTTAGACTTCCTCCTTATCCAGTTTCCTCCATACTGGAAGCATGTTTCTTTTGTGGTTGGTGCTATTTAGAAAAGTTACCCTAAAATGCAGGCGAGGTCACAACACTCTAAACAGGAAGCTTCCCCACTGCTGCTGATCTCATTGAATCGTAGCCAGAATAACCCTCTCTTTACAACAAACAGAGGAGCAACCTCTGGCAGTGTAATCAGCAGGCTGCTACCGCTGCATTAAAGCAGGATCAGATTGCATTTTTCCCATTGTATCTCCCCCACTCCCAAGTCCTATCTTCAACAAGAATTGATAGCGGAGAAGCAAGCTCAACACGCTTCAGGAATTCGCCAATTCTCTTTCAAAAACTGCGTACAGGAATTCGGTTGGTGAGTACTTTGTAAAAGCCTTTGTTTTGCAAAAGACTTTCTTTGGGGGAAGAAGGCAAGAAATTCTGTCCAAAGGATGTCAAAAGTTGGTTGGTTTTTCCTTAGCATGTGTTAGGTACTGTAGTCGGATGTCCAGATGCAAAGTCTAGTACTCAGGGATTGCAAAAAAGGTAGATTTTTGTTTCTAAAGAGACAGTGCTCTTACAATAGGAACTATTTGCTGGTAATGAACTTGTCAGCATATGGGCATTTTGGCAAGCTCGAAGTGGCTGCTTAGAACCAAACCATCAGTGAAACATTTTATACTAATTTTGATCGGTAACCCAGAGTTTGTCATGAAATGTCTCAAGCTTTTCAAACAATGCTTGCACTCAATTGAATACAGTGGAAGCTCCAGGGAGAGAGGCAGATTTATTCAGGCAGAGTTTTGTGGTCTGTCTGCTAGACTGTTTTCAAATCCCCTGAGCCCATGCCTTTAGAGGCAATTACAGTTTTAAGAATCAGCAGAATGCTCTGTATGTTGTAGCAGAATTACACAAATCTCATGTAACTATAAATCAATTTCACTCATTATTAAAATCAAAAGAATATTTTCCCTGTCTGGTCCATAGATTATTTAAACAATGAACAAGGTAATGACTGTTGTCATACTGAATGAAAAAATAGAACAAGCAACAAAAAATGATTTGTGCAATATTCTACTTTGGATCAGCATGAACTTGAGCTTCTTTTATGATAACTCTAATGAAAGCACAATGATATTTAACTGGATTTAAAAACAAGGGATAAAATCTAAATAACTACACGCTAGATTTGGTATAGGGAGTATAAGAGAAGAAGGATACATAGCACTAATGTTCAGTGGGGGAAAAATGGACAAAGGAGAAAATGATGGGGGAGGGGGAACGGTGGGATCAGAGATATGAAAAACATCAGTGTGACTCAGTTCTCTAAATTAGTCATGGAAGTACTTCAGGCAAAATGTAAAATAAACCGTCCTTCCTGAAAGTCTTATGGACAGATGTGAAGACAGGAAGTTCAGCTGTCGAATAGATAGGAACAATAAGGGCATGCTTTCTGAATTGCCAAGAACTACCACCTAATAATGTTATGGAACAAAGCATGGAGGTCACAACAAAACCGAATTTTATGTCTTAGGGTCATTAAACTAATGAAACAAATGTAAAGATTTCAAAGGAGTCATTTTAACATGTTAAGGGGGGGGGATCATTGTTTATCCCTAATGGCATCACTTGACATTTCCATGTAATATTTCATCTTAAAGTAGACATAATAAGCTTTCAAATGGTGTGTGTGTGTGTGTGTGTGTGTAAAACGAGGGTATATTAAGTTTACCAAATTGGTGATGCCTGCTCCCTGCCTAGAATGAAATGTGAAAAGCAAACCTGGCAACAATGAATTAATTTTTTAAAATCCTTTAGATTTGGTAATCTAAAGCAATCAGTATCTTTCAGAAACTTTGTATTGAAATTCTGTAAACCTTATCAGTGTATGTAGATGGCCTGATCCTAAATGGGTTAGTGTAAACTTCCAAATCTACTTTAAGTCAATGAGCTATGTCCACTTGCACAAGCTGAAGATTTGACCTGAACAGTCTTGTCTCAGTGTGTGGGCAGAAGACTTTCCATAAAATTGGCCTCAGACCCTTCTGCTAAAATCCTTCTCAAGCTCCTATGTTTCTGAAATATTGCTAGTATTCTAAAAGTTCTTAACACAATCTTGAAAATCTGGCAGCTATTTATGTTAATCTTTTATGTTTACTAGTGCAGGGTCCGGGGGGAGGGGAAGTTGGGGACAGATCCTCAGCATTGGTCCATTGAAAATCCATGCAAAAATCCAGGGAAAAATAACATTACCCCCAAAGACATCAAGTTCTTTCATGTAAAGTTGCTAAGTCCTTAAGCAGTACTGGGTAGTCTGGCATGGACAATAGGGAGATAATTGTCCTATCTATGCAAACACTCTTTAACATCAGCTTGTTGGGGAGAACCTGATAGCAGAATCTGCTCAAATGGAACCTCCACAAATATAGTTGAACTGAGAATGATCTCCATTCTATGGGTCCTTGAGCCATTCTACAATGGGTACATTATTTTCTTTTAAATTTTATAGAATGATTCAAAACCAGAAAAAAATATCATTTTCTATTGATTCCTTCTGGCCCACAAGGCCCTATTGTCAGCTGCAGTCAAGGATTAGCCAGCTGAAGACTTGGCTATGTGGCATAACACAGAGTCTTGATCCTAGTGGTGGTCTTAGTACTTGCCCAGTGCTGTTTAGGTGCACCATGAAAGAAGAGACTCTTTACAGTTGCACTTCTCCTTAACACATGCAGTGTACCTATATACCCACAGGCCTGGAGTTGGTTCAGGGCCTGTAAGATATTGGGGGACATTTTATAGTTGGCACACAGTTTACAGTCCAGTAATTGTTGCTTCATATCAAAACAGGAAGACCAGTCAATCTTCTGAGGTGAACATGAAACAGAAAAATTGGACATTTTACCCAGCAGACATTCTTCCTTCATACTTTAGATTCAGAAATAAATTCTGGTCTGTGCTTTTTTTATTGTTGTTGGTATTATCATGTCAAAAGCAAAACTTCTGACTGCTTTCTGAAACATATATATCATGGTTTGTTTAGACTTACCTTGTTTCAATCACTTTTTATCTTTTAGAGGGAGAAGAAACAGATGTGTGAGAAACAGCATTTCAACATTCAAATATTAATTGAGTGCAAACAGAAACCACTGTCTATTCCTAGCTTTTCCAAATCAAGCTACATTCAGTAAATATTTGTCTTGTAGGGATACTGTCAGATTAAAAATGATAGGCCTGGTTTTCTTCTTCCTTACAGCAGTGTCAATGAGAAAAACATGGTGCTATCATTTGTTAAAAAGTACTGCGTGGATCAAAATACCTTTTCTACCACAGGGCAAAACCCTGCTTTGGTTAGTTCAGTGATGATAAGTTTATGGAGGGAATGGTTTAATGGAAAGACATGATTTTAGTCAAATGAATACCGTGCCATGGCAGGTAAATAGTATAATGGCTAACGAGGGTCAGGCTGGAGAATCTTGCCTACATGCTCGGGGTTTTACTGATCGCCATATTTGGGGTCGGGAAGGAATTTTCCTCCAGGGTAGATTGGCAGAGGCCCTGGAGGTTTTTCGCCTTCCTCCGCAGCATGGGGCAGGGATCGCTAGCAGGAGGATTCTCTGCTAATTGAAGTCTCTAAGCCACAGGATTTGGGGACTTCAACAGCAGAGTCAAGGGAAAGGGTAGGGACGGCTTTGTGGCCTGCATCATGCAGGGGGTCAGACCAGATGTTCATAATGGTCCCTTCTGACCTTAAAGTCTGAGTCTATGAGTCTATGAGAATGGGGACATAGTCCAGTTTGGGATCCTACTGATTAGAGTAAATGTGGGGAAATTATATATATTTTTAAGCACAGTGAATTATCCAAAGGGACTAGTGGACTAAATTAAGTCAGAATTGCTATAATCTTATCTAGTTAGATCTTTTTTCCTTAATTTAAACTGTACTAAATACAACCTAAGACTACGCTCAAAATTTCATAACCTATGTCTTACTGTTCCTGAATTTACCATATCTTTTGCATTTTTCCCCTCTTCCATTTCCTATGCTATCAGTTTGAATAAGTCACTTTCATGGTCACTTGATGCTTTTTTCTAACGCTGTCAGTTGCTAATATATGAACCCACCTTTTGTTTGTCTTTCCATTTAGTCAGACAGAAGAAAATGTTTGCTGCTAAACTCTAGTTACTATAGAAATTAGTGCAGAACAGGCTGCAAAGCAAAATAAGTATATTCAAAAGGTCTAACACTGCAGGTCATGAAAAATGTATTCCTGAAAAGTGGTCAGAAAACACAAAAAAAGTTTGTGTTGGGGTTTTTTTTCAGCAAAATCCCTACAAACGTGGAGAAAGGTTTCTGCTATTTCTAGCCATTACAAGTATATAAAGGGATAAATCCCAGGTTAAGTCTCCTTTGTGCCACTCCGGCTATAGGGCTTACAGCTCCTCTATAGTTGGGGATTCCCATCATAAAGGAATTCACAGTTAGGATTCCTGTCATAAGGAAGTTCCCATTTGGCTTGCAGCTGCCTCTATACCACTCACTTTCCCCCACCTTCAGGTAGGGAGGGTCATGGACCAGGCATAGGTATTATTCCCGAGTATGTGTTACGTAGGTTATCACTAATCAGTGTTGAAAAGGCCTGTATACCACCCTAAACCATCAGATAATCTTATGCCACAGAAAACCCCATTTTAGGAAAGGTCTAGAAAGTTTTAAAGTTTATTGGGACTACAGTTTGTAACCCTCCAACTGTAAAGTCAAATGCAACAGTTACCATTAGTTCCACTGTAGAGAGCTCAGGGGGAGCTCTAGAAGTAACCTATCCTATCTTCTGGCACGGCTTTAAAGTCAGTCCTCTTGGGACTTACTAGAGGGCATGGTCCCACTGGAGAATTGGAGTCTCCTTTTTCCAGTAGTAAAATGCTCCTTTTTCTAACTCTATGGGCCAATAAGATCTTGAGTTTAAATTCCTGATATTCTGATGTAAAGAAAAGCTGTCACTGATGCATGATTGAATCATTCCTGTCCTAAAGTCAATGGGACCACATGTGAAGTGAGATGCTACTCTGGTGGAGTGAGGATACCTGAATCTGGCCAAGTATGATCAGGGGTTGGGGGAAGTAAATGGAGAGAGCATTAACACACACTCTTCATGCTAAGTCCATCCCCTCTTGTCTCCTGCATGCAATTGGCAAAAATTGTACATGCCCCAGCTGCTTCTGATCCCCAGAGCAGAAGGTCACACATACTACATTTTGAATTGTGCTTTATTGTATATACCACCTTAAAAATAATAATTCCACTTGAATCTTAAATCTTAAGGCCTCCATTGAACATTAAGCAAGCATTTGTAAAACTTTTGGTTTTGTAGAGATACA